GGCTCCCGATATCAGATATTTAGAAGAGGAGTAACGGTGCCAGATCTGCTTCGCAAGAGCCGCTAATATTAGCGGTACCATATTACCGCACTATGTAGTCCGCTAATTTACGGACGCGAAGCCATTCTTGATCGCCGTCCAGGTTCACGATTGCAATTCCGCCTCAGTATAAATAAATTACAAAGTCACATGATGACATTGTCGTATTGATAACCTTAAGCATTTACACCCGTCAAAAACGCTAATGATTGACGAACAATAATTTCCAGCTTGTTTACAGAATCAATATTAATACTAATCATTATACGTGCACATCATTTTTTCTTGTACGCGGACGTACGTATATAATACACCAGGAATGCCTAGGAAGCCAAAGAAAACTTAATGACAAACTAAAACACGAAGATCGTAGAAACGTCGAATAAACCATTAGGACTAATTTCTAATATAATAACAATACTAAGAAACATGAAAAGCTATAATGTATTGACGCCATTTAAAAAACAACTTTTTGCTGGGACAAATCTTTGTTCACAAGCTTATTTCAGCGCGGGCCTTCTAGTTCTCTGCAAGGCGTGTAAAAACCGCAGACACCACACTGAACTGAGTTTCTCAACTTTCAGAAATTTTGAAAATCAATTTCGACAATTTAAAAGGATTAAAATGAATAAACCCGGTGTGGAAAAGTTGCTTTCAGCTAGTATTATGGTGTGAACCCAAATCGTACACTCCTTGTGTCACAGTACGCTCACAATGTCCGTAATTGAATGTGGTGACAGGTATTCTTTTTTGCGATGAATCGTCAGTATCGACAAACCCTGGCCAAAGATTTCACCGTCTGGTGCTCCAGAATGCGACAGCGTAACAGGAATCAAGTGCACGATTCGTCAACGGTTTGACAACGATATCGGCTCTCCGGCAGAAACCACCGGACACAAATTTACTCTCCGGCAGAAACGACCGGACACGAATTTACTCTTCGGCAGAAACGACCGGACACCAATTTACTCTCCGGCATGTAGAGCCAATTTGCTGTTCACGCTCGCTTTTTTATAGTACTGTTTCTGAATGCCTGAAAAGCCGATTTCGCCCTACTTACTTGTAAATTATGACCCGCAGCCTAATTAAAATCTCCAACAACATGTAGCACCAGTGGTAGCATGTACTGTACAATACGACAGTGCTCTGCTGAATGTACAATACTGTGCACGGCATTGTTTATTCGTATTATGCGGTCATCCTATCGACTGCTGTTGAAATGAGTTTTTACTTTTTCTGTTTTCGAAAGGTATGGTGGGTTGCCAAATATGCTTATTAACCCGGCAACGTCTGCTAGGTGGAAAAACCACCAGTAAAGTTCGCTAATTTTTACAACGCCAGAACTATTGTCATTACCTGGGTTACATATGCATGAGATAGAACAAAGATAACTCTCTTCACAGTGAATTTTAGTTTTTTAATCAGACACACCATAAAAAACGTACATTGCTTAAAAAACACTGAAAAAATAACATAAAGTTCTACGAAGTGTATCTAAATCGGCTGTTGTGATAAAAATTTGGGATTAAATTAGTGATAACTTCATGTGAGTATCTCACAATTTCAGTATCACACAAAAGTTTGCAGCTCTTCTGTAAAAAACTGTGAATTTTCAAAAACAGCTGGTGGAAATTCCACCGCTTGGGCATTGGCGTAGGACAATAACATGCTGCCTGAACAGGCACAGTGACCATAGCCGCACACTTCATATGATTCAGCCGTTGCACACTAGGAGAGTAGCCAAACCAGAACACTGTCATCTAGCTGATCAAAATATCAAACAAATAAAGACATCTGAGTGCTTTTATAATAGCATAAATGGTAATAAAACATTTTTCTTATCATATCACAATTTTTTCTTCGACTGCAATAGGTAAGAGAACAATAAAACGACGTTGTGATCGAAACAGCCAACCATAAATATGGCTGGCTGTGATCAGTGTTGTGCACATGTAAACTGGCGCAGCCCACCATGACCCTGTTGCATGCTGACCGGAAACGACACATTCTTTTGATTATAAATTCAACCATGAATCTTTTCATAATGAATTAAATTGCATAAGCTAACTATTGTAAACAGCTACCACAGCCAGGTTGATTCGAGTAGGTCAAGTAGCCACAGTGTTGTGTACAACGGAATTTGTGTGGTGTCGCACCGGCAACCACCTTGCCCACACCGTACGTATTGTATATCGTGAATGCCCAAGCGGTGGAATTTCCACCTACCCTTCAAATTTTAAACTACTGCAGCAAAAATTTTGAAAAAATTAGTTTAAGTTCATTATATTATTGTTATTCTATGGTATGAATTTCAACTTCGACAAAAAATTCCTTGATACCTCGGGCATTGCCGGGTTAAGAAGTCGTATTGCAAATCGTGGAATCTTGCAAACACTTAGACCAGACAGCTGCTAATGGCGGCTAGTACAGTTACGCAGCTGTTGCCTTAATTATGTTGTATACATCGCTTCAAACAGAATGCCAGTGAAAAAGGATGCTTTATTCGAAATGTGTAACTTTAAGTAGTACCGCACACGCTTTCCAAAAAGCGACCCGTAAAGGCACTGAAGTGGGCCACTATGATGGGCGACATACACTTAAGTGGGCCACCGTTAGTTACTTCTCTCTTGATTTTTCTTCGCCTTGAGTTTGCTGCTTTGTTGGATTCAGAAAAGTTTGATCTTTTCGGAGTACTTGAAAATGTTTAAATCGGTTCACCCGTTTGTAAGTTATTTGCATTATAAAAAACCGATGACGAAAGCACTTAAGCCACGCCACGCGAGCCACTGCACTGCAGCAAAATGGTTGCAGTTACCGCCACACATTTGCGGCTGTAGCACTCCTTAGCAGTGATTTTGCTGTTCTGTTTATGTACGTTGTGAGGCGTGCTGTGATTAAGGCGTGCTGTGCCTTTGGCCACCGAATGCCTGTCAAGCTTTTGGTCACCGAAGATTTTTTAAGCCTTTGGTCACCGAAGGCTTTTCAAACCTTTGATCACCGAAGGTTTTTTAGGCCTTGGTCGCCGAAGCTTAGGCGTGCGGAACCCACGCTTTTAAGCCGTTTGAAACCGTGGGCAGCGTCAGCGGGACGCGTAAACGACGGGCGGCCTGCTTGTATTAGAATTTCATGTGAACATACAATACTGTAATTATGATGTAATTACATTCACGGAAAGACCGTTGGCTAACAATACTGAATTGGACCATTGCTAAAGTAAAGCGTTAGAGTAAAAAATACGGAAAATAAAAAACTAAAGGTAAAAAACTTTCCGATTGCCGACAGCTCGCGAGATTAGCATTATCATTCTGGTGCCATGTAAAGGCAGCTTACAGTCAGGTACAAATTGAGACTACAGTACAAATGCTTAGAACATCTCTGCCACTGCTTTGCCACCAATAACGACATTGTAACTTTTACTTGTGTAATCTAAACAGAGCGCATTTTTTCATACCTGACTGTCTTGTGAGGATTTTCTACAGGAAGAACCAGATAAATTTTTTCTTTTGATTTCGCTTTAGTTCTTCCAGCTGGCGACAAGAGTGGGCGCCATGTCTTGTGACCTTCTGTTTAGATTTAACAATTAATTGCTGCATGTTTTCGTTGTGTTTCTTGTTTGGCTCGATACTTTCGTAATTCTGTTTAAATTTTAGTGAAACTGTTTGAGCCAACAGGTTGTACTATTGTAGTATGTTTCCTCCAACGGGCTAACAATACTGGTTTAAAAGTGCGCAGGATATTTGGCTTGCTGAGGGGACTACTCGCTGAGTATACCTGGCTCGCTCATCAGCATAGGACCCACACTCCGTTGTTCTAAAGCGGCTGCTGCATTTCCAACCGCCTGATTCTAACCTTGTCCCAGAAAGCCGCAAATCGAGGTTTCCCGGTAACGTGCTCACTGATCTTTCGGCCGACGAAACGGCTCATGTCGGCAAAGGTAGCTCCACATGTTCCGAGCGACTGGAGTCACTCGGCGGGTAAAAAAGATATCCCAACTCGTGGACGACGGCGCACTTCCAGTGTTTGCTAATTAAACCACGACTTTCATTGAATTTACTTACGAGTACGTCGTACATAATTGAACTTGTGTACAATGCAGGTACACTCTAAACCATTCAGGTACATCATTCCAATTTAAGAACTGACAAAACTCAAAAGGAAGGTCTCGCGAGCGCGGTAATAATTATTGTCACATGCCTAAAACGCAAATAGGTTTTCACAGATCGATCATCGATGCACCGAAAAATATTAGGACGACTTTCCCGAGTACTCTGCCATTTCTGGTACGCTGTTTACGATTTTAACGGAAATTCGTATTTTGTGCGTTTTCTAAAATACGGTAAAACCTAGTGACAGGCGCAACGGAGCAGTTAAACACGACAAGGTGATAATAGAACGTATTTTGCAGCCGTGGTTCTGGGTGCTTGAACTAGCCGGTTATGAGTATGTGGAGACAACGACGCCTCTCAAGACACTCGCGGCGCATTTCTACTGCACTATGCGCTGCGGACCTTGTACACAGTGTGGCTACTCTGGCTAACGACACTGGAGGTGGCCACAGCTGTAGTCTTTGGAGGGGTATTGAATATTGTTACCAAGGGATCATCGCTCGTTGCTGCTACCCTGGGCCTTGTTAACTAAGGGCAGTGACCTTGCAGGAACTAATTACCATCACTGTTGGAGGCGCAAACTTATCGAACAGAGTAGATATTCTGTCGCAAAACTTCGCTGGCTGGCAGCAGTGACAAATAAATTTGCTAATACTTACAGAAAGGCCGCGTAGCCTTTCGGAAGAACTCTTAGCTGTCTGTCTGTGTAAGTACAGTACTGTTTCCGGCTTTCAGCTGCTTAATTATTTATAGTGATATCAGTTAGTGCATAAGTTTTAACTGCAGTGAAAACTATGGCATTCATACTGTTTTTACCGCTTATACCGTTTGTCAGTCTGAAACTATGATATTTATACCGTCTTTATGCAGTAGTATATAAATATTGTAAAAGCAATCCTCTTTTTAAAACGTTTCAAAAAACACAATTTTCTGAACTGGTCAATGACTCAATAAATACATAATCGCACAAACCACAGTTTAAAACCCCAATGTACACATATAAAAACTTAAAAGTTGCAGAATTTTAGGAATTTTCTAAAGTTGCATATGCCACTTTGCAATACTCTCATGTAATGAACATCTGGCTTGCGTTGTTCCCAAATCTGTCTCCAATCTGCAAGTGCACAGTGATTAAAGTTACAATTCTTGCAACAGCACACAACCCCGTCAGCAAATGCAGCAAAGGATTTACTTACTGTTGCAAGTATACAGAAGAGCCAGCGGTTCCACATGGCCAGAGGCGCACTGATCTCGTCGCTTACGGGCTTTCAGGCGACAGCGGGATTTAAAATCACATTTCTGTGCCAGAGCTTCCGTTTGAAAGGATCCGGGGCAGGCGTTGCGGCATGTCGAAATCCCTTTTCCACACACTTTCGGATTAGTAATACGATACTGTGCGGTTTTTATACGCAGTGCTTTGCGATCAGGACATGATATGACGAGTGTCTGTCCTTCCCTTAGTATAATGCTTTTCAATCGCCCTTTCTCGTCCGCTGTAAGTTCCTCCAATTTCTCACCAAAAGCTTGCACAACCTACACAGATATGTGTAGTATTACGTCCGCTAATATAGAGAATTTAAATGCTTGTTCGAATACCTGGGATCTATCGTATTTGTGATGTTGAAAACGGCATAAACAAACTGTACAATTTTATAACAACAAACGCGCACATCACAAAGCTGTTGTTGCAATATTCGTTGTGCAATGTACGTAAAATTAAAGACTTTTATCTAAATTTCTGCCATACCATTGAAACGAATAGGAGTAAGCCGACCACAATAACGACGACTCGTGGGCTTGTCATTTTGCTACAGTAGTAATCCGATAACTAGCTGGGCATAAAAAAACTAATGCAGAAAAATAAAAATCTTGCATACGAACAGTTGGGTGATTCGATACTAAACCGTCAAAAAATTGCACGTCAAAAACTTGCAGTGCGCGGTATAACAAATAATATTGCTACATAATCCAAAACAACACACTTTAGTTTTCCGATTACAGTACGGTTCATGGATTGTACTGTATTTATACATAATTTTATCGTTCACGTTGTAAATGCGCTGCTTATTGACACTGCCTGGCATACGCTTACAGTTAGAAATCCATTATGGCGTTATTAGCACGCAACGAGAAATCACTGAACAAGCTCATGTCTTTTGCCGAAATGTTGTTTAAGTAGCACCAGGTAATACTGTAACTCGCTGCGTATCCGCAGCTGGAGGCGTGCAATTATTGCTATTAGGGCGGCTATTGCCATTAAGGGCACTTGTTCACAACTTAACAAAACATAAGAGACGATGTCAAGGCATCAAATAACTAAAAAATTGCGCGAAAATTACGAAGAGCGAAAGAAGACCGCAATACCCGTAAGCAGTAACAGTACCACAGATTAATTTTATGTAATTTGTATGTATGTACTGTATATAGCCAGCGTGCGTATAAAGTTCCACTGGACGTTGGTCAAGTTGCTGTCACACGTGACTAGAGCGGTTTCGTAAAGTTTCAGTGCTGGAAGCCGGTCATTGATAAACGTTGTGTTTCGTTTATGTACCAAATTTAAAATATCTAATATTATCTATTAGGGACCTTTTTGAATCCCATCACATGCACTATTTTTCAAGATGCTGAATTAAGAAATCAAGAAAGTTTTTGCAATGATTGGACGATCATGGATTCCCGAAATCTGCAGTACATTTTCTGGAAATCGAACGTGAACCCCTGTCAAATAAAGTGTTTCCGCGTATCATTTTGCGCCGGTCATCCCAAGTGGAACAATCCGTAGTTTGCTTAAAATTTTACGTAAAAAATGTTGCACAGGCATCACTTCCAGCGAGTAACGCAGCGACTGGTAAATTCGCGTCCGAAGACTTTCACAATTTGCTCCGTTTGCTGCGGAGACTTCTTCGAGGAACTCACGATTTTTTCAAGTTTTTCGATGACAAGGTTCAACTTCGCACAATTCTTCACTGGATTCTTTAAACACAGCTGCATTGTATGTGGCTATGTGCCACACATCGTAACTGCAAAGATGAACTACGTTTTTTTATGCAATGCGGCAACGCTACTACATAAACCGAAGCGCTTAAAAACAAAAAAATTGTACTACTGACATAACCCGCTGCTGCGACAAAAAATTTTTATATTATTCTTTAATGTTATAATTAATGTTATAATTATACTGTTCACAAGCGTTAAAGTCCCGAAATATATTTATTAATAAGTTAATTATTGACATATCATTTAACCAATTTTACATTAATTTATATACCTGAATCGATCGACCGTTGATGACACACTCTTGCTACAGCAGATCGCATACTTCTTTCGCTATTGTGGACTCCGAATCCAGGTCATTGCGTCTCAACGGCTGAGTGGATTTCACTGGACTGCCTTTCCTTCGCGGCTGGTTGGCGACAGGCTGTGCTGCACAACCCGGGCACGGTGATTGCGAATTCTCGCTAGTTTTTTAGGTGATCACGAATGCTAAGCCTGTCACCGTACAATGTTTAGGGCCGTGTTTAGATTATGGCGGTCACCGGAAGTTTTTTGAGAAAAAAAAACTGGTAATACTTACCGGAAAAAAAATTTATTAAAATGCTACAGATTTTATCCTACAAGGTGATATAAGTCTCATATTTTGGTGAATATGCGACGAAATAAACTTCACTGGTTAATGTTCGTTTGCTAATAAATTTGAATAATCCGGCTTTGCTGATCGTTAGAGAGTAAAGTGCGTTTAGTGGCCAGTGGACCGGATTCTGGTTGATACCGTACAAGGCGACACAACTTTCACCCGCTGGTCAGTCGTCACTTTTTGGACTGTCGCAAAAATATTGCAGAACTGGTCATATTTTCTTCGTATGAATTAATCAAGCAAATGTACGTTCAAGGAAGAAACGGATTCTAACATGCTGCTGTGCGCATCGACGATAAAAAAGATGGTCAGTCGCAAACCATCTTAACATTACGCTATTGGATTGCAACATGGTCAGCTAGGGTTAAACGCCAGAACGCATTACAAGTTTGACTTAGTTTAACATCCATTCTTTCATGAATTTTGAACAACAGGTGGTGGATCGGGGTCAACCATCTGAAGTGGCGGACTCGTCATGACCGCTGGCTGGCCGGCCACGAAATAGACCGGTTGTTCTGGCACCGTTGGGATCGAAAGGCACACCTTGTGGATAACCATAGCCGGGTTGCACGTACACCACTTGCGAAGCAGTTTTGCTTTTGGGCAGCTTGCACAGACAGATTCCAACGGTAATCGCCTGGCCCAGACTGAAAATCCACATAACACTTTGGAATGCTAAGTGGGTGCCCATAAATGCGCGGCTGTGGTGACGAAAAACGTAACAACGATATGGACTGTAACCATAACCGGAGCTGGAGCTATAATAACTGACGTGATAAGTAGTAACACTGGAAAATATAACCGCGTGAGCAATGACGAGGGACGTTGCCATGATGGTGGACCGTAAACTCATCACCCCCGAGGTGACGAGAAGGCATTTCCGTGAGCGCGGTGAAAATTTATCTTGAATCTTCAGTGGTTTCAGTAACACCATTAATTCTGATGGCTTTATATTAGCAGTACTAGTAGTACTGTAACTAATCTAGTAACTGTAGCTTTTCGTAAATTGTGCCAAAAAATACAAAATAACCCGATATCGTTTTACCATACATACCACTACATACAAAATATTAAGTAGTATTTTACTATTTTCAGATACGATTTGTATTATTTAATAAGTAGTATTTGCAAATTCTTATTTGTAAATACTCTTCACCGTGTGTTCAAATTTCGTACTTGTTAACCGCGATTTACCTTTCCGCGTAGAGTTGCAAAGTGATGATAAACGTTTAGAATTCAAATCTATGAAATCGTGCTTACAGATACTGTTCTGATGATAAGCATTTAGCATTTAAATACATAAAGCAGAATCAGATTACAGCTTGTTTTGAATTCCTATTTCTGCAGTCTTGCGCAGACAGGTTGTCTTAACTTGCAAGCTTTTATTAGTTTGATGACCCAAGTCAAATAAACAGTCTCGAAATTGCGCCCGCCCGTACTTCAGGAGTGACCATACATGCCCAATGGTGTGTGCACGCAACACAAGTTTTCGATGGACCGTGGCCATCCACTGTTTAATTTTGGGAACCGATGCTTGTTACTACCTAATAAAGCATTGCTGATAGTACATTACTGAATTATCTCAGATTAATTGACTCAGTGACTAATTAGTTAGGTAATTACGAGGAACTCTGGGAGGTTAGAAAGTTCGAAATTAGCGACTTTTGCGAACTCGTGGTTTCTGAGGGACTTAAGATTCCAGTTTGGTTTGTTTTTTTATTGCTGCTGCAAGGTCTCGTAACGCTAATTACGCTAACAGATATCGATTAATTGCTGTTATTTATTAAGAAAAACATCTTGAAAAACCTGTTGCGCCCCAACACCAGTGGGCGTCAGCGGGTTAATGTCGAAACGTTGATCAGTACGAGTATTACAAATGACGTTTCATTCCCGGTTCCAGCGTTACAGCTTACAAGAGCAAGTAATTTCGTATAAAGATTATCTCAACTCAATAATCTTCAACACTGTATACAATACGTATTAAACCATGACTGCGTTTATCGACGGGAAGTTGGGAACTGATATTTTGTTGTTTCATACTGCACGTAAACATCTACATCTTTGCTGCGGATTTGTAGTTCCATCTGAATCTGCAGCTATTTTCTTTAGCCGGTAGACTTAAAAGAACACCTATTTAAATTTAAACACCCTATCAAAGAAGTGCTTCAAAGCGTTATGCATTTCCATACTACCCAGATTAAACAGAAAAGGATTGACAGCGGATAACGAATACCCTAACCAATAAGCCACCAGGTAAAACTCCATGTTATCATATCCACTACATAATTCCATAATCTGGTAGATAAACCACGGTCCCCACTGCAGCAGGAGCGCCGCCAGCAGTGCCGATAAGAGTCCGAATGCCTTGCGCTGCTGTTTCCGCCGCAATGCATTGGGAATATCCGACGCCACTTCCATCATGTGGATGCGCAGCGCCGCGCGGTGGTTACTCCACAGTTTCCAGCAAGTTTTCACGTAGCAGCATACCGTGACGGCCGACGGCAGCCACTGTGTGAAAAGCGCCACGTACAGCGAACTACCGTACGACTTATCTATTCTCCAGTAACAACCTGTTTCAGCGGTGAAAGTGCGGTTTCTTCGATTATAGACAAAACTGGACACGATAATGGCGTTGGACCAAATCCAGCTGAAGCAAATCAAAAGGATACATTTTTTCTCAGTGTGTCGTTGCCGGTAGGATGCCGGCCATGAGATGGCCCACAATCGGTCCAGAGCGATGATGGTGATGGTTAACAAAGTTTGTGACGTCCCCAGGAAATCGAAATACACCCAAGTGGTGCACTGCCAGCGGGATAACGGCCAATGTCGGAAGACGGTTATCAGGGCAAAGTGGGTCATGCAAACGGAGCCAGTGAGGCAGTCAGAAATGGCCAGATTGAAGAGGTAATAGTTAAAGACAGTGCGCACCGACGGGATGAATAGAAAAGTCCCGATAATGCTCAGATTGGTAACCACCGTGGATATTATTAACCAGATTATGGGTAGCAAGACCCACTTGGAAATATGGTATGGTGAGGAGGCATTTGTTGGTAAAGGTGTACTGGTGGAAATATTAGTTTGCGTCTGCATCTGGATGGCGGAAACCGTAATCTATTCAAGTAGAGAATTCGAAAAACTGTTTGGCATGCAATTAAGCGGTATAAAATTAAAAATAAATACAGCTAATTTTTAGCGACCGAGCGGTCGGAGCACTGTAAGTGTATTAACTATTCCGACGTTCATGGATGCACAGCTGGGGTTTAAAGATCAACAGATTCTGTAACTGTGCTGGCGTTGCTCCATATCATAATAATTATGCGTACACCTACACTGCGCTGACATTGTATCTATGCGTGCGTTCACTGTCAGCCTGGTGCTGCCGGAAATACAGCACGAGATGCATGTGCTATTTCTAATTTAATTATTGCTGTTTTCGATTAAGGGACGCGATTCTGGGAGAAGTGAGAGTGAAGACAGTGGAAGGGCCCGAAGGAGAAATGTCTGTATATACCTAACAACATAAAACGCAACATTAGAAATCTGTATTTACGCTACGACATACATATCGAAAGGACTACCAGGCGAAAGTCTCCGGATGCCCAGGCCCGCAAAATCATAATAAAATAGCGGATACAACCTGTGGCTGTCGTGTGCTGCATTGAACTGTAAAATTTCGAACTGTGTTTGACCACGCCCTAACGACGACAGCAGCTAAAATACTACTTTCCACATAGGACGTTAATATACTACGTCTCTACGAAAAAATGAGTGTTAAAAGCCGCTGAATCTGGAGCCGGCCTATTTGTCCTGGTCAGTAGTGTCATGACGGTGGCAGCTACTTTCTTCCGGCAGAAAAAATTGCTAGAAGGACTTTTGCCTTGACACGTCGGCGTTTGTTCGGGAGAATAGGGTGGGACAAGCGGTTTGCGAGAGACAAATTAGAAACAGAGCCCGCCATTTTGTTCAGCCACCCGGTACCTGTATAATTGCACATACAAATTCAGTCATCTATATGGTATGTAAAACTTAAATTGACCACTTGTAGTTGCATTACGTTACCTTATCAAAGGTGTAAAGCATCGCAAAAATAAAGACATCGGCTATGGGAATAGGTATGATGGATGCCGCCAGTTCGCATTCGAACTTTCAGTCGTAATAAAAACTATGGATGAGCGGGCAGACGTTCGCGCGAACATAGTCAAGAAAAACGCCGTGGCTGTAATTAAAAAAGACAGCAACGCTGAGGTCATCGGCAATTTCAGTTGATACGCCACACAATTTTTATTTATCGTGGTCACTGATGAGCTCTTTGGTAATGGCTCGTTTGGCTAGCATTCCCATGCGACGGAATAATGTTCCAGTGTTCAGGACCCTGTTATGAGATAACCGCACTGCATTCGTTTACAGTCTGGAATAAAAAGTAGTCAATGGCGATAATGAGCGTGTCGCTTCCCAAAATGTATAATGTTGCCTCGTTATGTTGTACGGCTTGTGGATTAAATCCATACCCAAGGAAATTACACGGGCAGCTTGAGTACAATACGTACTGGCAGAGATGGTCAACACTACAATACCGATTAATCGTAACGTAATTTCGTCAGTGTATTGCAGGCCACGTCTTGCCATGGTAATTACGATTACAGCAAATATCATACAGTTCATCCGCTAGAATTTTGAAAAAATAGTAAAAAGCTGTTGTACGTTCAGATAGTGCGGTTCAACATTTCCGACAGCCGTACGGCCAAGCAAGTAGAATGTAAGCCACTGCCTGCAAGCATGGTCAAAACAAACAGTTGTATGCACAAATTAAGCGATGCGGTGTTCCCTTAAACACCTCTCGACATCGGTAAATTGATACTCAGATTTTACTTCATAGCTGAGAATAGAATCTCTTGAGCCCCGTTCTCATAAAGTAGGGCATCACATTGATGAGTTGCTCAATACATGTAGCCATTTTTTCCTACATTCCATGGGATCCTGAAAGGTAACAAAGCAGCTATCGTGCCCCTTCCTTCTTGTTTGTTTGTGTGTTTGTACATTTAGTACAATGTCGACAACAATCAGGGGAAGCCTGCACGACGTAGGCCGAAGCATTGTGTACTTGTAGTGATACACATTTCGTGCAGTGACAAAGTTAAACGCATAGCGTGTAGTTTTAGTTGTCCAAGTGTGCAAGACTAAAAAGTTCAAAACCGTTCAATAATTAGAGGGGGTCTCTCGAAAATAAAAACATAACAATTCCCCTATTTTTTATAGAATTTCTAACAAATCCCACAAGAAAAACGTGCGTCGGCTTCGCGCGAAACCAACTTCATCTGTTAATTTTACTTCGATCTCGGCATTCATAAGCTTAAGTAATTTGGTCACCAGCGTTCTAATATGCTATTTTTAATCGAAAGTTCCGCAATTTCGCAGTAAAAATGGTCTCTGGTTTCGCGCTTCGCGCCGGAAGTGGACATTCCCTTTAATTTTTAACACTTAATTCGTATCACGCTTCGCTGCTATTGCCTTTCTTTGAAAAAGAATACAAAGGTTTATTGTTTTTTATAATTTGGTACAGTCACTCCCTCCTGGGGCACCCCCAGGGCACTGTGTAGTGATATTTTGGCCTCTGGTGCAAACAAACAGTGTGACATTGGATAAAAGACGTACAATGTGCTGAGTGCAAAGCTTATGTATACGAACAATGTCAGCTTTTAAAAGCACACCCAAAAGTTATACCCAACATCGCAGCCGGTTGACGCAGGCCCGTCGCAGATCGTCCAGCGAGGCGATGAACAGCAGCGGATCCAGCATGGAGTGGAGAATCTTTAGCATATTTCCGGTACGATAGAATACCGGGTTGTCCACCAGACTTGGGAAAAATGTCCAAAAGCAGTAGTAGACGTTCACCGGTGTCCAGCAGACGATCACGCTCACCGTTAACAACATTAACACACGCAGACTGTTCTTCCTCCTCACCCGCTTCTCCGCGCCCGTATCGCTGGTGCCGGCGGTCTTGTTGGCGGAACCTGAGGGCGGGGCCTGGGACACCTGCACCGGTTGGCGAAGGGCGGTGCGGTGAAGAAGCAGCAGCGGGCACAGCAGGACAATGAGGACTTCCGGCATAACCAAGAAGATGACGTTGAACGCCAGCGACCACTCCACATAACCCGGCTGCGCCATATTCAGCAAGCAGAAGATCCTGTGGAAGGGTTTGTGGGGGTGGAAAGCGTCGAGGATGATGGGTGGGGCCAGGAAGACGACAATGCAGGCCCCCGTCACTGAGCAGACCGTCACAGCCAGGCGCCGGGTGTGGCGGAGTCGGTAGGAGTGCGGCTTCAGCAGCGCCCACAACCGGTTAAGGCCAATGAAGAGATGGACCAGCGGGACGAAGCCTACGGCGGTCTGGCGCACAAAGTAAGCGATGGCGCAGAAGATGGTCAGCTGCAGTGCTCCAAATCGGTCCTTGATGGCCAGCGTCAGCGGGTTCTGAAAGCAGGCGTTGACGATGTTGCCGGCTGCCAGGACGATTAAATAAACGGCAAATGAGGTCCGTAAGGGGCGCTCCAGGATTAAAACGGTCACGAAGAAGCCGTTGAGGAGGATGGTCAGCACGCAGATGCTCGTCGTGCATATCTGCCCGAGGTCGAAGTTCTCCAGCACGCTCCAGGTGATGTGGGTGGCGTTCAGCCCACGGATGACGGTTTCGTTGCTGGACAGGTTGGCCACCATTTTGTCCTCGAGAATGAAAAATAGACAACAACTCAGAGAATTTTTTCTAGACAAAACCATAGACACTAGAAAGTGAACAGATGTCTGTACAGCAGCATAGCCGAATTCCGGATTAAGTAGGGAAAAATGTAGTTAGACACGCTTCCAGGGAACGCGCGCAACGGGATCAGGAAACTGAGAAGCGCCATACAGTTGCGTTAATTAAATGTCGGCCAAATTATGCATCCATCGGTACAGTCCTTGCATGAACTGCACAAGTCGGATAATTAAATCCACAAGAAAAGAGCAGCAAGACAAAAAGCAGAGAACTGGTCGACCGCTGGCATGGGCGCAAGTTCACACAGGGCTGTCTTGTTGGGCCGCCACCAAGCTGCTTTGAATTCTTCTCATTTCACGAAAACTGGAACGCATACCCGGCGCGCATACCCGGCGCGGCGCGTATATATCATTTGAAAATCCAACCTGTAAGAAAGAACAGGATGAAAATAGGAAGCAGATCAACTGACAGTAGCACACAGAAAAGGTGTTCGAATTTCCTTGAAACATGCGCTACCCATTTGGTGGCAAAATATGAAATTGCACTATTGTTCGAGCGACTGAAATTATCGTTGTGAAGGATGAACCCTTTATCTACAGAGAGTGAGAAACCTTTGAAACGGAAACCGCACCTACGGTGAAGCGGAAGCAGCCACAAAGACGCTGGGGAAGCCCGCGTCCTGCAGGCTGGAGCAGCATCTTGACAACACCTGACTCGAACCGGAAATGGCATCCTTGATAGCAGATCTGTCTCCGTTTCTCGACGCTTAAGTTCATTAAAATTTGTTAACTTGCCTGCATAACTTTTAATATCGCACAGACAGTACTTTCTGTACGGTCTTCAATCTTAGTTCCTTCACGTGTCTCGTTTTTTTTTTGTGAGCCAGGTTCAAATTTCCACGCAAGAATACGACTCAAGTTCTGAATGAGTTAAATTCCAGCGGATGCAATAAACAATAGATGTGCGCTCAAGATGTACAAATAATAATATGAATAATAACAAGAAAAAAGCTCATACGTTAAATTAGTGTGTGTTATAACACAGTTTGTGTATTATTAACTGTGTTGTGGGCATTATTAACTTCGGACACGTGCAAGATAAAGAGGAAATTCGCTGAGAAAACGTTAGAAGGGTCTGTCGAATATAAGTTTTAATTAAATTTGCATTTTATTGGATTGTTTAATTTTTGAAGGCGAAATCTGCCGTCGGCTTCGCGCGAAATTCTTATAATTTGACACGGTGCTTTGCCGCTGTGGTCATCACGCAATAAAGACGCCCCGAGAAAAATTTGTCATTATAAAAAATTGATGGCTCTCGTACTTAAAATAATAATGGTGAATTTATTGTCTTCGTGCAACAGGGCCGTACCCTTAACAGCAGTGGACAGTAAACAGAAATTAAACAGTGAGGGGCATGGTGGAAAGGTCACAATAATATACAGGTTGACAGTCTAAGATCTGACATAAAAGAAAAACACAGCTAAAGAGAGTAACAATTTTAACACGGTGATTGAAACAAAAATCAACAGTTTAGCAAATGAGAGTGATCAATTAACAAGATAAGATAGTCTACAGGTGCAGAAATTTTTTGGACCAATTCAGTTCTGTCCATTTTACATGTTCTAAGGATTTTCGAAAAGTTCCGAGAGATTTGTACGAGCCTGAGGGGAGAGATACTTCGTTCCACAGGAAATGAGTTTTCGCTGAATGAGCCGGAAATAGGGATGGCGGTTGCGCCACACGCAGTCGTTGGTACTGGACGGAGTGGAAGGTAGTGGCGTTCAAGCCGACGGAGACTGCGTGTGTTACCTGAAACAGATTCAGACGAGACAGCAGACACTGTATGCTTAGAAAAGAATTTTTCGCTTAGCGGCATTAATCCAAAAACTAGCTTATAAACGAAAGTAAGCAGCTGTTTTGCAGTTCTTATGCGATAGCTATCCCAATCAAGTTCTTTCAAACGAAGCTGGTAGTCGGAAGTATCGTTACCTAGGCGAACAGATGCAACAAATTTTTCAATGCAATGCTCTATTTTATCTTTCGACATTTTGAACAGCGGAAAAACGGCTGGCCCGCAGTAATCCATAAGAGGAAACACCAAAGATTTAAACAGCATAAGGCGAGCACCAGAGTCACGATAGCGAAACAGAGAATTGATGTACCAGATCCGTTTCTTGCACTTTCCAGCAAGGTTTTCTGCATGGAGTTTGAACGACAGCTCACGATCAATTTCGACTCCCAAATGCTTAACATTTTCAGAAAATGGTATGGGATTGTTATTAAGAATAAATTCGCCCTTTACACTCGGAGACCGTTTTTTTGAAAACTGCATGTGGACAGACTTTTCCGCATCAAAAACAAGACCTTTAGATGTTGCCCATTCAAACAAACAGTTAAGGTCACCTTGAAGAAATACATGGCTATCTTCGGCAGTTAACGGACGTAGCAAAACAATATCATCGGCAAAAATCAGCACAATACTGCCATTTATGAGTATGAAAGGCACTTCGTTTAGAAGACAAATAAACAACAAAGGGCCCAACACCGATCCCTGGGGAACACCACTGGTTACGTTTAAAATTTCCGACAAATATGCTCCAACAGAGACGCCCTGCTTACGATTTTTTAAATAGTCAGATAATAGATGAATTATCTTGCTGCTAAGATTAAGCTTCAGCAAAGATGACACAAGACTTTGATGGTCGCACTTGTCGAAAGCTTTAGAACAGTCAAGAAAAATAGCGGCAACGTCGATGCCGTTTTCAATAAAATCCGAAACTGTTTTTACAAAATACAGAATCTCCAGTTCGGTTGACCTTTTACGACGATAAGCGAACTGATGATCGCCCAAAGCACCATTTTCGCGCAAATGATCTCGTATTATTTCGGATAAGCAGCGTTCAAAAATTTTCGAAATCGGATTTAGCATTGATATGGGACGATGGCTACTGGGAAGGGTCAAATCACATCCTTTTTTTGGTATAGGAACAACGTACGCTAATTTCCATGCTTCAGGATAAACGCCTTCGTTCAAGACTGCATTAAAAATCAACTTTAAGGGCTTCACAATCGACTGACCAGCGGCTTTCAATAATTTATTCGTTATTTCGAAGTTTCCACTCGATGTATTTGAGGAGACAGACGAGAGTTGTAAGAGAATCAGGGATTCGTCGATTTCGATTTCTGACATGTTATTACACATAATTTCTGATGCAGTACCTTGACAATGCTTTGCACACACTGAATGAGAAGCGCAGTACTGTCGGTTAAAAATTTCGGCCTTCTCATTGTCATCAGAAACAAACAAACCATTGTCTCTCTTGAGAGGGGGAACTGACAAAACGCAATTTCTGGATTTCATGAAACGCCAAATTTTGTTGGGTTATTACGGTAGCTGCTTGAAACTTCAACAATTCGGTGCGTTTCAAATTTATTCAGGGCAATTTCTGCAATTTTTGACAACTGCATCCATTTTTCTCTTCGAGCGGAACGTACCAACGGAAAACCTGAACGTCGATACAGTCGAAAAGCCTTATTGCGCGCGCGCAACATTTTTTTTATGGCCAAGGGATAACGCGGTGTGCCAGTTTTAACAACTAATTCTTCGAGTACAAACGTTGATTTTGCTATATTAAAAAATTTACTTTCAAAAATATTAGCACGTTGCGCTGCATTGACATTCCGAAATTCCCTGCACCAGTCAATGCTGCTCAATTTTTCTTGAAAAAGAATAATATTTTCAGAATCAATGGTCCACTTTTTTATTTTACGGGTTTTTGCTTTTTTCACTTTTACTTTAAGATCAAACTGTAAACCGCAATGATCGTTCGTTATAGAAGGCGGAGCAACAGCAGTAACATCGAGACACAGTTGTTGGGTAGAAACAAAGCAAAGATCCAAACAGTTCCGTTTCCGGGTTGGGAAATTAATTAGTTGTTGGAGATCAAGTACGCTTAGAGAAGACAACAGACATTTACCGGCGTTAGAACGTGCAGAGCATAGCTGCCAGTTAATGTCTGGCAGATTGAAATCACCCATAAGAACTGCCCTAGAAAGCATGTCGGGAGAGAATTTGTCATGCAGGTGTTCAATTAGCAACAGGATGTGAGAATAAGATTTATCCGGGGGAGAATAATAAACGAAGAAGAATTTATTTAGGAACAGACGACTCGACACAAAGTGTTTCTAACTGCGAATGCTCTAAATCAATGCGCCTGTACGCTTTATAGCGTTTGCGAATAGCGAGAGCGACACCACCACCAGAGTCATAATCTCTTGCTTTTCTGAAGACATCAAAAGAACGTTGATCAGCGAAGAGGGAATCAGTAAAGTGATCTTTGTCTCTTGTTTCAACAAGACCAGTTACGTCTGCTTGAGAATAAAACATCCGGACTTGGGCACTTTTCTTATACACACTGTTAATGTTACAAAACCGGACACGTACACATCCGCGATTTGACTTACGCGGCCCAGTTGCAAATGCAATGCTGGTATAGTTATTTACAAAATTATCGTTTAATTTTACCGGTTTTTTTGAATGCTTTTGTTGTAAAAATACCGCGAATTTCGAATTTCGATGTAAGAGTTGCACAACGAATAATCAAAAGCCGAGTGCTCATTTTGCGGCGACTTAAGTCCTTTATCGGTGCAGTTCACGCATACGCAAAAGAAGTCCTCATCTTCTCCGCAGTCAGCGGCAGCATGCGGCTTAGCACAATAACCACAGCGCGGAGCGCTTTTGCATTTTGATACCGTATGTCCATACGCACAGCAATTTTTACACTGGGGGACATAAAAATGATCTTCAACTGGACACACAAACCAACGAATCAACAGGGATTTTTTCGCTAACAAAAGGTCATGGCTAGTTTTATCAACATCTAAAACTATGGCACATGTAGTTACTTCATTTCGGTTACTTTTCAACTTAGTCACGATCTTAACGGTGCAGTCTTCAGCAAGACTATTTTTCGCGCGAATTTCATTCAAAAAGATATCTTCTGGCAGATCAATCGGGACACGACGTACAATCATTCTATTTAATCGAACTTTTGTTTCGGCTACTTCAAGACCAATTGCGCTGACATGTTTACTTAAAATTTCCTTACCAGTTTTGGCGCTTTCGTGATCTTTGAATTCCAAGAGAACGCTTTTTCCATGGAGAGGTCGTATGCGGGAAACGTTCAGGTCGGCGGCAGCAGAAGGAAGCGCGCTATTTAGCGCGGATGAGATTTTGGCTAATTCAGCGGTAGTGGTGCGAGAACGGTTATCGGATGACGCGGCAATAGGTCTCAGGATGAGGGCTGGTGGCCTCTCAGCGGTGTTAGCGGAATAAGCCGTGCTTATTCCGCTAGCACCGGCTGTGGCCTTTTGGGAAGAGACAGTGGATTGGATAACGGATGCAAAAGAACGCGCCTTGTAAGCTGCAGCATGCGTTGCCGGTGGTTGTGGAGGCGGCGGCATGGAGGTGCTAGGTGAGTTGTCCAGAGTAGCTGAAATATGCGGCCGGGAATGCTGGTATATGGCTCGGAGACGGTCAGTTATTGTGTACAGTGAATCAACTTCGTCGGCGATCAGTCCGTACTGGGCGGTACGCGTTGTGAAAGCTTCACACTGCGACAATCGGGCGGCAAATCTGTCGATTTGGCTTAAACACTCATCGAAGTCTAACATTTTCAGTTTATCAGGTGGTAGAAAGATATTATCCCCCATGTTTGGGGGGAAACAATCAAATTAAGCAAGTAAATCAAGAAATATGGAAAGGATGGCGTAACGATGTAGAAAAGGTCAACTGCTACATTATAATGTAAGAGGCACAGAACACACAATAAGTCTATACGATGGCCCAGAAAGACGATGCTTTGGCTGCCAGCTAGAAAAGTTAGATCCGCACTCGAGCTGTCCAAAGCGAGAATGAGCTGTCCAAAGCGAGAATAAAACTTGAACATAGCTTCATTTGTCTGTATCTTTTTCAAAAATCCAACTCCCAAAAACCGGTATTAACAGGAATAACCGGTTCATTTACGTGGACCGGTAGGGATGCACGTAGAATATGAACCTGTATATTTATTGGCTTGTAATACAAGGTGTACAAGAAACCGATCTATCTCGACAGAAAGCCTTGAAACGTTGTTTGCGTATCATTTCCAAACATGTATCACAGAGACACAGACGGCCGAATTACGAATGCTTGTGTGAGTTACGGTTTACACACTCGGTATACCGTACACGTGATAGTGTATTCAGAAAATTGTTAGCGAACACTAAATAAGGAGCAGTCCGTGCTTTTCTTCCGCAATAATCAGTACAAATTTTGCAGTTCTTAAAGCTAAGAAATCACACGGTTACCGTTCTCACTGAGTAATAATACAGTACATCACGAAAACATGCATACTAGCTAGCGAATTTTCAAAAATATAATTCCCAAAAAATTACCTTAGCTCATCTTACAGAGCGTTTTCTATACTACATAATGCGATAATTGTAATGAGTGTATCTTTTTTCGTTAAGAAGAAAAAAATTAAAGTTGTACGAGTGGTAGAGGGGGGGCACGTAAGGTGAACCGCAAAATAATGGGTTGCGCCGCACTTATTGTGAGTGATGGCATATTCCTTCAATCGCCCCCGACATCCGTGGTTGGCATTGAAGTAATCGCAATCAGGTGCGATCAAAATCTGCAACTGCCCCATCCAGCTTTGTTGAGTTTGTTGATAAGAAAGAGAAACAAAAGACGCCATAAACGCAAATCTGCCGTCTGATTGCAGTCTTTTGTTTTAGTGTCTATGACTGCATCAGTCTGCATGAATGTTATATGGCTGCCTGCCTGTTCTGCGTTGCTCCACATGTGCATGTGCTTTTGTGTGCGGCAGCCAGCAACTTTCGTTACCGGCACCAAAGCCATGAAAGAGGTATACTTCTGCAAGCTAACACTGAACAAAACGTAAAAAAACTTTGAAAATCAGCTGTGAATACATTGGTTTGCCAAAAATTACAAATAAAATCGCATTAAATAAAGTACCGCAGCCTGAGCTTATTATACGGACAGAATTTCTGTTTAGGGTTTCGTTCGGCAGATATGGTCAGAAATATCCAGGGGTAGGGTGCCCCAAGCACTACTTTGGCACCCCCGATTTTTTTTCTTTTTCTGTTTTTTATCAATCAAAATTCTGTCCGTATAATAAGCTTATAATACTTCGCTCTATAAAATGGCCGTTGCAGAATATTTTTTTTCACATCTGTACTCTGTAAAAATCGACTTCAAATTTTTCACTTTAAAAGCTAATTTCTCAGCAACAATAAATGTGTTACTGTTACTGAACCCATTTTATAAGTACAAAAATCATTTCTTTATGTGCGATATGCTACGGTTTTGTCTAAAAGTGTAACGCGTCGATGGTATGCCCGTTTCACCGAGTTGCTAGCCACTTCGCGTTAGTAACTATATACTTACGTTCCATGTGTAACGTATGGCTTTGATGTACGTACTAACTGAATACAAGTACATGCCTGTTTCTTCCGTTTTGAGCTTACTAATTGGTTGTTGGCGCACGCGCGCCGTATAAGGACGTCGGCAAAATTTTCCCGTTTGTTAACTTGTCCATGTAAAACGGATATGGCCATTGGTTTTCATGAGCGGATCGGTCTTGACTAGAATTAGGTGTGAATGCAACTGCTAATAAGAACTTATGTTATGAGAGTCTCGTGTCTCTATGTAACGAAAACATAAACTACCTACCGGAAATCACATAAAGTACCTACCGGAAGTCACAATTACAACACAAGTCCCTACCGTATGTGTACCTACCGGAAGTCACAATTATCTGGATAATTACATCATCCAGATCGTATTTCGTGCACGTAGTGGGATTACTGGTAAAGTGTTTTCCTAGAAGTCTGAAGATTAGGCACAAGAAATAGTTCATGGTCTTATTATTCCCACTTTATTTTTTTTAACTTTATTCACCTGTGGTACAACGTATTAAATAAGAACACTTTATTGAGTTTGGATGGTCATCAAGTGCGGTAGATGTACAGAGTAGTGCATCTTCCGTATAGCATGTCATTACTTTCCTAGCCGGTTCTCATTAGCAAACCCAGTTTCCTGTTTTCAGACACTTCTTATTGACCTCGTGCTCTTACATACAGAAGCATGACAAAAGGCTGTTATAAAATCTCCGTGTTGCCTAAGCCTGCTTTTGGAATTACAGTATTAGTACCGTCAAGTCGGAGCGACACAGATTAGCTTATCTTGCAAGAATGCGCTCAATACCAGTTCGGTACTGCTGGTAATCTGATAATACAGCTTTGCGGAGCTATCAGTTTCCTTTATTGTTAGCGCAGCATCTATTATTAAATATGTGCAATCAGTATTTATTAAGCAAAACGCACCCATTCCTGGCAAGCTGTATCGGCAAGCCTTAACTTTACAAAATGCGGGCTCGAGAACAAAATACCCATAAGCGGAATAAATAGGCAGTATTTGTATAAAGAGATAAACGAACTTCACGTTTTCTGTATTGCTGTGTGATTAAGCCTTGCGCTTGCACGAGCAGCCTGCACGCCGGCGTGCTGCTTTCCGTAAAGATTCCACGCACACATGTACTCGTACATGGGTTTAGCTACGAGTAATAATTATATATATTAAGCTAGATATCGCAAAATTCTCGCATTTCGAGATACATTCTCGTAGCGTTTCATGTTATCTATTGCCAGATAGCTCGTGCGAATTGGTTAGATAAGGATATCTGAAGTGCAACATCTCCCTGCCGGAATGTGGCGAGAGAAGCAATGCCGGGATGTTTATTCTGAGTATGTACGTCCCCGGAGCACTCGAATAATGGCTAAGAGCAGCAGCGCAGTCGCTGGAAAATACAGTGCAATTTTAGAACAACACCACCAGAAACGATCAGTCTGCACATCTACACATTCCTAAAATACTAACCGTAAACGACCGTTGATACCACGCCTCTCTTTCAGCTATTTTCGGTTCAGCATCCTTGATTTGAAGTCTCCTTTAATGGCTGAAGGCGGCCACACCTAACAAGATATCCGAACGAGTACTGCGCACCGTTAATACGTTAGCAGTTGCTGCGCGATAAAGCTATCACTTGCCGTATTTAGGCCAACGATTTTGGGCTTCCAGATGGCCCACAAGTCCAAAAGCTCATCGGTGTCTCTTGACAGTCCCGTGTTGGTGAACAGACTGGCATCAACTACAGAGCTTCCTATGGTCGGCAGTACCGCAATGGGAGCGTCTGTTAAGTGACACAGAGTGGAATGTTGCATTGAACATTGATTGGGCAGCCATATTTGGTGGTAGGCTTGTTTGTTCGCTTACCAGTTTGCGGGAGGCCGCTTCGCTTGCCTGGTGACCAACCCTGGAAAATACACAGTATTTTGGGGGGCATCTGAGGCGCCTGGCTTATCGACTGTGTCAGAGGGATCACCTCTATGTTAAAGCACTTTACCTTGCTGAACTGGAATTGCTGGGCGGCGGATAAGGACAACATGGTCAAAAGCAGAGCAACGGATAATGCGAACCTCTTCATGGCAAAAAAGGAAAGAAATGTTGGAAAAAAAAACAATAAGATTCAGAACCATCGATGGCTTACTGTGCCCGCTCCAAGAGATTCGAACAGAATAACTGTACCCAAACCGCACTGTACGCTTTTATATATGGTTTGAACACTGTGACTCTCTGTGGAAAATTGGCTGTCTTTGTCCGGCAACCGGTATTTCAAACGAAATTTTGCTTAATTTGTTAGCCGCAGTGCGCAATATATCCTCCCAGCCGCGTTAATCTGGATGCAGTGCGTGAGGTAAGTGATCCTGGAAGTGTACCGTGGGGAAAACGGAAGCGCTTATTTTAGTCACGATCTGACCTTTGGCCAAACTAGGGCGTATTTGGAGTAGGACCTAACTTCAAAGATGTGCGCTATCCACAGGTTGTCTAAAGCATATCCTTATCTGGATTCCCAAAAGGTTGCAGACAGTGCAACTCTAACGTCACTACCGGAAGATAAATTTAGCGCTCCCGGAACTTTACTCATTTATTATGTTAGAATGTACACCGGTTAGTGAGCTGACAGAAATAATTTGCAAAACTTTAAAAACGGTTTTACTCATCTACGACGAAGAATTTAGATTTCAGGATAAAAACAATTTTTTTCCAAATTACACGTTTAACAGCCGCAGAGAACAGAAAATAAAATGCCTGAAAACGCGCAGTATGTAGTTATACATTTATGATTCAGGAAGACATTTGTTCCCGAAACTCGCGTAATTCTAATCGCGTGCACAAAACAGCTCTAAGCAGGGCGCAATCCAAGGGAAACCGAGAAACGGCTGAAAAAGGCGCCGATGGGGGAATCGAACCCCGGCTACGTCGTTAGATCCGCGTAGGCAGTACCACTGCACCACGGCGCAATACGTTGAAATCATTTGAAAGATTTTGTCGCTGTACGTGAGCCGCTTCTCCGCCCACACCCCATTTGCAGCTTTCGCTACGTCCTCGTAGCGAGACTAAGCGATCATTTAAGCGGCTGCTCCGGCTCACCGCATCCTCCATTCTTTTTATCGTTTCGTTCGTTTTTGCTCTGTTTCTCCCGTTCGAGGTTAGCACACTAGTCTCATAGGCGAAGTGGACGTACCGAACCACGCTCTGCTACCATCTAAAGCTAGATCCAGAATGGATCCAGATACAGAGACCTAAACAGGACAGATCCTGTGGAGTGAGCAATGCTGAAAGTATAGCGAACGGCGAAATAACACGCGATGCCCGCTCAGCTACTTGCTAACTTTATGACTAAATTCAACACTGAACAACACTGAGCGAAGAGCCCGATTCAGTCGCTCTCGCACGTGCGCTATGCGCCGCCCACTAACAGAAAACAATGAACGGCTATAGCCGTCAGCCAATCAGAGCGAGACACAACACAGACACGCAATCCGGTGGCGAAGCGTCACGAATGTGAACGCTAGTGATCCCTCGCTCACACAGCCATGACGCAAAGGGTACGCTATCTGCCTAATACTTCGAAGTTCTAACACATAATTGGTAAACGGTAAATATTGTTAGAACCTGCTGGCTGTTCAGCAAACAATTTACCCAATAACTGCCCAGCAATTCTCGACAATGTCAAAACTCAGCAAGACTTCTAAATGGTGAGATGACTGAGATCAGAGCGAGAGCCCCTTCGCTGCCCTACAATGTCTTGTACTAGCAACTGGATAGCATTTCCTACATACAGAACGAAAACTTATTAAGTTCATGCCATCATCAACAGTTCAGTATAGACAAGAGCAGCAACAAAGCATACAAATCAGTGGCGTTTATGAGCGCAAGCCAGTGACACACATACAGTTCATAAAACAGAGAGGGCAGATTTAATTACAACAAAAATATGTCCTTTAATTTCTCGGCTCCATCCATGGTTCTAAGTACCGAAACTGCGTAACGAAATCAGTGGTAGTATATTGTATGAGTTAAGAAAGCAGGTTACAATAAAGTGAATAAACAGCATCACAACAGAAATAACTCAATTATTTTTTTCAACTCCCTTTATTTTTTGCCTTTCTGGAGACGGAAACCATAAAGATACAGCTAGTGCATACTGAAGTGTGCAGATGTGAAATGGGAGCGTTTTTCATCCCACTTCACATAATTATATCCTACTCCAAGATGATTATCCTGCACGGTTATAAAATGTTTAAATGTAGTTACTGTACACTAGCATAGTTCCACTGCAATAATATACGAAAACTGCTGCTCTAGAGAAAATAGTCCCCTCCGCAAATGGGTTCATCGATTGCCGATAATCGACCATAGCACGCTCCACGCGTTCGATGACAAAGACGAAGAATCCCACCGTAGACACCATCACCTGAATCGCAAAGGGAATTTTTGTAGGAAAAATGCATTAAACAAACCACATGCAGGATCGGTCATACAGAAATTATAGAGCGCTGATCCAAATGTAAGATATAGTCGGCTGCAAATTGCATTCCATGCCGATGGATGCTTTCTGCAAGGGTTCCGTACAGATCCGCTTCGTTTGTCGATATAGCGTGCTGCCAAATTTATAGAAACAACATTGAAAAAAACGATAGGACGCTGTGGCAGAGGTACGAAACAATTGAGACTCCGACCTGCTTGATTAATCTGCGGCATCGATAATTCCATAGTTCTTGCAGGAGGCTTCCAAACTGTTTCCCCTACAATCAGCAAAGCAAACATTTGATTCGTTTTCAGTTGACACAGATCCTGATGTATTGTCTGTCTATTTTTTGTGGTGTCCTCTCTTGGCATATTAAAAGTTCTCAAAGATCTACTTCCTTAGTGTACGCAGGTAATTCGGACGATATGGGTCAGGTTCAGCAGGAAGGCTGCATACCGTTTCGCAGAGTTTTAAAGGTTTGATCATAAGTAGGCACATGTGCATGATTCCGGCGCAAAATGTCACGGCAATCCGCACCGCACTGTATACACTTCCCGTACCGGGAATGGCCAACCACATGCAGTACCACGCCATGGCCACTAAGATCTCCATCAAACTTGTCATTAAATCCATGGTAAACTTCCAATCAAATGTCAGTTGTACTTGCTCTAACAACTTCATCACATCGTGATGCTTTTGCCGCAATTTAACCAGATACTGTGTAAACTGTCCAGAGTCAATACTCTCGGCTTGCATCCGCTTGGCGAAATCGGTTAAACTGGACACTAACTCTTCGCCACATCGACACACAACAGAGCAAAGGTCAACCTGCAGCAATGCAACACAGACAGGAACAATTCTAGCTAATGGTATAATGATAGTGTTTATTTCAGTAATCAGTTTCCAACGTTGAGTAGTCCAAAACGCAAAGGAATCCGTCATGAATAAGCTGTAGCTAACATCACAAGCCAAACACACCGCTGGAAGTGCGCAGATCAAAACCACCACAAATTGTACAAAGCGTCGCATTCGTGTATGGTCTGGTGCGTGGAGTCCAAATTTGAACAACGTTCCGCGTGCGGTGGACAGACAAGCATTCATGCGCTTTGCGTTTATCGCAGTATACAGTCCGCGCAACCAAGCGCGCAGACAAACGATATGGGTGGAAGAGAATCCAAGCGATACTATAATGATGTTGACCTTGTCAAACGCCGGATCGCGTGCTTGTGACTGGGAGACCAGAAAATCGTACACGTCCAGGAAAAACATGGTTAGGAAGACCAGGGTTACCAAGTATCCCGCATACTGGATTGGGTTCAGCCTTTTAGGATAGTCTGGACTTCCAGAAGCGTTAGGAACGAACTTCAACAGGAACTGACAGAGAAAGGTATGATTTGCTTCCAGCCTCTGTTCCGTTGATTCTGCCATCGTCGGTACGTTGCATGTAACAATTCTAAACTACATGAGACGAGCGGCACGTTAGACGTATCGAATGAGGATGTTTGACCGTTGAATGCAACAATTCCATCATTTTCGGAAACGCTGTTTAATCAGGCAGAGTTGCTTGGTGTATATCAGTATGTATTATGTACGAGTATCACATTTTGCATCATCGGCTGCATCAGCGCTTTGCAGCATTCCACATCTCCAGTATGGTCGTAGTATTGCTTTCCCATGCTTGAATTAAACTGGCACAGTCATGACGAACGTATGACGAGCAGTACCGAATGCAGTTCTTACTATAGGTACTAACTTGTTAGACTATGATTACGCGAATGCATTCCGCTGGTAATGATAAGTGGCTCTTGAGAACGAAACTTCGCTGCGTATTCTCAACGCTTCCGGCATTAAAGTTTCATTACAATAGAGTGATCTGTAGAGAAAAAGGTAACGCGGTCTATTCAAGTATGAGGTCGCTAAAGTTTATTAGCAACAGCCAGCAAGAAGTTTATTAAGAAAAGACAGCAACCACGATTAACGACGATTGTTTCGAACGAGCACGATTTAATTTACAACAACAATATTAATTTTCCTTTAATTTTTTCGCTTCGTTCATTATCCAAAGTTTGTAAGGAACGGAGTTAACTCGGTGGATTCAAGCGACAGGCGTGATGAAAAAATTTCGATGTACGAAGTTCGCCGGCATGTTGATGTAGTAGTATGTTGATGTACAAGCTTGTCCGGTAATTTCTGACGAATCTGTACATCGAATTACATAAATTTGCGTGTTACGCCAAACTTCGCACTACGCCGCGCCACGCCACACTGTTCAATCACGTAACATGCATTTGGCTGGCTGGTGGCTTGTTGCACGCCATATAATTTAGGAGAATAATAGTAACTGCCTCGCGGAAAGTAGCTAGGAAATGGTCGTGCAGTAAGTGACAATCTGACTGCGGAGCGCATTTAGGCAATTTTAAAAAACGTAGTGAAGTGGCCATCGTTATAAGCGCAAACTTCGTGCTAGCTGTACCTTTACGTAGGAAATTACCAGACAAGCTTGTAGTAGTTCGCCGGCATGTTGCGGTTTAGTACTGTAGTTTATCAATTTCCTTCTCTAAAGCTCGCAAAAATTGCGGTTTGTGATTCAACCCATGACCGGAATCGTCGCGTTCGCTATTGCTCGGTATTAATGTGACTCCGCATCGATGTGAAACCATGGGTAATCTTTTCAGTTCAGGCCACCCGAGTAATAACTTCCGAATTCCCGTAAATTATAGCTTATATGGGCGCAGCGATACCATTAATTATTCCTCCAGTATTTTGTTTTTCTTAGTTTTTCCTACTAT